AAACAGACACTAGACAGAGCTAAAAGAATAAAGCAGGTATTTATTAAAAGGCCTCAATGGATACACCTTGGGCAGTACAAGAGCCTGGCCAGGACTACACCCAAGATGGATGCAAAAAGGTCACAAGATGGACAACCAGTCACAAGGTTTCACACTTTTATAAGTTTTGGTCTATTTACATATTGGGGTTAATTGTCCAATTGCAGCTTCAGGTTACGAAGTCCCTTTCTCCTTGTTTGCTCTCTTCAATTCACTGTTGTTTATGCTTTTTGGGCCTGAAGGTTGTAACCTTGGGTCCTTGTATCCTTGGTTCTCAAGCTGGAAAAGGATTGTTTTGTCTAACTACACTGTGAAGAGAACTTACTAGCACTTAATATGAAGCTCAGAACTACACACCAAGGCAGCACAGAATCTGAAAAATATGAAAACTAAAACTGAAGGCATCATCTCCATATGCAAGACCATGACCTACCTTCCTGGGAAGTTCCTGCCTGTCCTTTGTGCCCTAAGCACTCAAGGAAGCAGCCCTAACCCCCAGAGAGGCTGTGCTACACCTCAAGGGCAACATCACCTTATTTACAAGGGAGGGGGGCTGGAAATACCCTGCAACACATTAAGCAAAGTGTGTTAGAAGACCTGTAAGCCAGTAAGCAAGAGAGAAGGACCAAGAGCTATATGTGAAGAATAACAAGTCCCCCTCTCCCCAAAATACACCTCCAAGCCACTGAGGAAGAGGCTTTGCACTTCAGCTGCTGCTGCACCCCTCTGCCAGTACGAGCCAGGAAATGCAGCCAGCTGAAGGTGACCAACAGGCACTCTGCACCACTTTCAGGACAGGGAAACCACAGCAGCAAACTGACCCTCTCTAAATTGCAGCTCCACACCACAAGTTGGGTATGCACGGCTGGTGCAGCTCAATGCAGGATTCCAGGTACCGAGAATAAAGTGATCATTCAGAAACACACAGGACACAGTGAGGGCATTGCAGGGCAGCATGGCAATTCACAAGTATGTTGGTTTCCAGCAGAAAATGTACCTTCCTCTGCTTAAGACTAAGCCCTCCCCACACTATTTAATAATTTCAATTTTAAAAAGCCTGTTTTCCTATCAGAAGACTATAGAGAGAAAAGTTATAAAGACATACAGACAAATGCTTTCCTAAGTGACCTTAAATGGTACAAAACATTCTTCCTGACAGCCCCAGCTCCAGCCCTGAAAAGAGGCTAAATGGGAAATGAAGTATTTCAGCATTAAGTAGGCAAAATGCATACTAAAACCATTGTGAAGTCTAAATCTGAGTAGAATAAAACTTCTCTAGCAGTTCTCTGTGGGTGATACAACAGAGTGGTGCATTCTCTACTGTGCTTTCCAAAAGAATGCAAACAACCCACAATATAAGGATACCAGCTTTGTAACATCCCCTTGGATCTATAGGTGGGTCAGAAAGCACAAGCAGAAAAATTTTCACCAAGAATATAAAATACTATAGGAAAACCAGGAGGAGGAGACAAAAATCTGAGTGCAAGAGATGGTATGTTAACTCAGCAAATTAGATAAAGTAAAATACCCAAGTTTACTTATTAAATTTGTTTCTTGCAGTGATAAAATCTCTCTCATTGCTGCAACAGTTGGTGAAAATTAAAAACTCTACTTCTCTTAAGTTGTATCTGAAAGTTTGCTTGTAAAAGTAATATGGTGTGGAGGGGGTAAGAAAGTACGCTAAAGTCAATTTTGCCTAATTTTGCCCCCAACCACAATCCACTTCTTCCATGAGACACTGAGAAGCAGTGGCATGTTTTCTTTAAAAAATGATCTTGTTTTATACATAAATTAAATTTTTAAAAAATGTTTACTGCCATCACAACATTAATCATGAATATTTTGTTATTCAGTGTATTGTTGTAGAGCATTGCTTATGGCTATTTTTCAAGACAGGCCAAGTGAAACCCAAGGATTGGTGTTATTCCACTCATTTTAGTATTCTGTAGGTTTATTATGCCTGATTTTTGTGTCTTAAGAGTTATGTCTACTTTTACCCTTCACTGACTCCTTTCTCCTACATATTTATCTCAAGGGGCTTAAAAAACAGCACTCAAAAGTACTGCAAATAAACACATACTCTAAAGTATCTGATAAACCCTAAAAAAAGAGCATTAGAACAATTCCAAGAAGAAACAAAGATAATCACATGCAATGCCATGTCCATATATGCAAACCTGGAACTAAAGGGGAGCTTATTACCTCACTTGCTACAAAAAAGTCACCTAAATGTAAGGGCACAGAATTTTGTCTCTAAGAAATTATGCCTCAAAACTCACCAGAAAAAAAATCAACCAAAAAACCAAAGAGATGAAAGAATCAGATCTTGCTGATATCTCCTCAGATAAATAATCTGTTAACTTGGTAAGTGCTGTACTTTTAAACTTGACGGATTTTTAAATTAATTTTTTAAGACTTAGGTGTTCCAAAATAGATCACTACCTTCTTGCCCTAATAAGCAAAATACACACACCAAGAAGGATAATAACTCATAATAAAACATTATGGCTGTAACTCAGGAGTTATTAAAGAAACATTTCTATTATTAAGGAATCTGATAGGGTGAGTATATATTAACCCTAGTTATTGGAGAAAGAGGCATTAATTGAATACCATCCCCCAGAAACACTTAGGAGCTCTAAAAAAGTCTGCTTATAGGAGCGCATAAAATTAGTTCTGTAGTTACTAATGTAATGGTACTATTGCACATACAGTTTACAAAATTGAAACCACAGAACCTCAATTGTCCTACAAGGGCTGAAGGGTTCATTTCATCAAAAGAAAAACAAACACTAGGTGTTCTTCTAATTTAAGTGGCCTATAGGAAAAGCAAATCCAGGCTGGAGGTGGGAAACCATCATTTTTATCCGTGTATATTTTTCTGTAGGCAACGTAAAAATACAGGGTGCAAACAATTAGCCTTATTAACAAAGAGACACGGACTGCGTGCTCCTTCCTAGGGGAAGGCATTCCCTTAAGCCAAGACCACGCATTCATTTGATCCCGCCCTGGCGCTTTCCTTCCCCCGGCCTTTTCTTTGGCCGGCGGGGACTTGTGTCCATCCCGAGGGGCTCGCTGCAGCCCTGGGAGGCACCCTGGGGGCAATCCCCTTCTGGTGAGAGATCATCCCACACCCACGGAGCCTGCCTGGAGAGCAGCAAACTACACGGCTTCATCTGACCCACCGCTACAGCGAAACTGCAGAGCGCTCTGGGCGCTCCCTGCTCAGCCTAGCAAGGCACGGCAGCATTCCCGCAATTAACTTGCTAGAGCCGAGTACCAGGCTGGGCGAGCGTACCCACATCGCTCGGGGCGGGGCTGGGGGCCGAGGAAGGCGGAGGAGAGCAGCTCAGGCTGCCACGGCGGGGCCAGCCCGGCTACTACAGCACACAAAACCGGGAGCAGGAGTTTCCCACCGAGCGCATCTTCCAGCCAGCAGCCAGGTCTGCTCCGCTTCCGGCAGGGCGCATCACTTCCCACCCGTGCCCGACAACATCCATCACCCCTCGGCAAAGAATTTTTACGGTTGTAGGTTTAAGGACAGGGAGGGGGGAAAAATAAATTAAAAAAAAAAAATCAAGCTTTTTTCTGCTTCACCGCCTCCCGCCGGATACACAGAATGCGGCCGATAATGAAGTGAGAATCCCCTGCCGCGGAGCCCCCCGCCCCCGGAGCGCAGATGCTGCCCCGGCCAAGCCTCCCGCCGCCGGCACCGGGTCGCCGACACAAAGGCTCGAAAGCACCGTAAATAGAGCCCCGCGGCCGCCTCCCGCCGCCGGAGAGCGCAGGGCGAGCCCGCCCCGGCGGCGAGCCCACCCCTCCCGCCTCGGGAGATGTCAGGTTACAGCCGAAAAGCCATTTACCGGGCTCGAAGTCAGGAATGCGCGCCTGGTATTCCGCTCCGACCCTCATTCCTACATCTGCAAGGCAAAGGGGGGAAGAGAAATTAAGGGCTGGAGCGTCCCCGGGCGCCGTCCCAGGCTCCCGCCGTGCGGCGGGCGGGCGGGCTGGTGGAGCCCCCGCCGCTGCCGTGCGGAATAAGCCACCTCCTCCCCCCGCCCACCGCCGCCGCCGCGGATTAAGCCCCGACGACCGCCGAGGAGGGGGCAGGAGGAGGCGGAAGGGGGAGTTTATTCCAGCGGAACAATGGGGACGGCGGCGGCTCCCGGGAGACACTCCCTCCCCATCGTTAAGTACCGCGGGGGCAGCCGCGGGGCCGCGCCGCGCGCTCCCGCCCCCCCGCCCCGCACACGCGCGGCCGCGGCGCGGACGGAGCGGCGGAGCCCCGGCACCGGCAAGGGGGAGGCGGCTCGGCTCGCTTCACCGCCCCTCCCGCCGCCTCCGCCACCCCCCTGCCGCCGCCGGCGGGGCGGCCCCAGGCTCGCACCGTGCTCGTCGCCACTGTCGCCGCCGCCGCTCTCCGGCTCCGAGTAGTGCCCGTTGGAGGGGCTGCTGCTCTTGGCGCCGTTGGGGGCTGTCCGGCTCTTTCCCCCCAAGAGCTCCGCGCCCTTCTCCATCGTGCCCAGCATGCCAGGGCTGGGAGCGGGGGAGAGCGGCGGCAGCGCTGGCTGCCGAGGGGGGGGAAGTTAATACGGAGCCGCCATGTTGCCCCCTCCCCGCCCCCCCCTCGGGCGCCTCCTCCCCCCCGCCCGCCGCGCCCCCCTCCCCCGGCGCCGGGAATCCCTCCGCGCCGGCCCGGCCGGATCTCGCCGAGGGGCGGGGATGTCGCCGCAGCGCCGGCGGCGCGGCCGAAGGAAGGAAGGAAAGGAAGCCTTGCTCCCGCTCCCGGACCGCGGCCGCGCCGCCGCGCCGTGGAGCTCACCCGGCCAGCGGGCCCCAAGCACAGAGGGGACTATTTCCCGGCGGCGGCGGCGCAGGGATCCCGGCGGGCGGGAGCGGCGGGGCCGGTGGTGCCGCGGCCAGGGCGGGAGGAGCCGCGGCCGCGCAGGGGCCGAGCGGGGACGGGAGGCGCGGGAGGGGCCCGGCCCGCGGCCGCGGAGCGGGGAAAAGCCGGGGCCGTCACATCGCTGAAATCGCACGATGTGGGAATCCCTGCTGCGTTTTCTTTCTAAATTCAAAAAGTGATCTATTTATTTACCTGTTAAGTGAATTCCGGTGCGTTACCGAGTGCTGCGGTGTTACCATCCAGTTTGTCTCCAATATTCACGTTTTACGAGGTAAAAAAGGGCTGAGACGCGCTCCAGACCGAGTCCGAGTTACAGTGTGACAACAGTCTTGCTGCTTAATCTGGAGATGCATTATTAGTCTGGTTTGTTCTGTGCAAACACATTTAATGTTCTTGTGGCTATGATTTAATATGCGTTATAGGTATTTTTAGTGATGCAGCGATAGTTTGTCAGATGTAGGGAAAAAAAGTATAAACTTAAATTGCTGTATATCAAATTAAAGTCTCATGATCCAGCTAAGAGTGTCTGACACAATCCATTACCTTTTGTCACATCTCAGCAATTCTTCCCAAACTTTGCCGTGGCGGCTGCCGCCCCAAGCTGGTGTGTTGATTGATTGATTGATTGAGGAGTGCTAGCAGGAATAGTGCAGCTGCTTTCTTAGGACGAGATAAACGGGAGACGACCACTTATGTCCATACTTACGGCTACTAAGTGTTCATGTTGGCTTATAGTTGGATTGTAACATGATGTAGTTGTGCCTGCTTTTTCTTGATACTTGCCTTGAAAACAGCACATTATGGTAAAATTAATATACTTTTGAAAAACCTTTGGTGTATGTGTGCTTCCTAGAATATGTCAGGAAGATATTGTCAAGACTTTTCCTACTTTGGGAGTTTTGTGGTCTTTGAAGAAATGTTTTTGTGACAACTTTTGGCCGATGGCTATCAAAAATGCAAGTAAACAAGCTGTGACTCCCTTATGCTTGCTGTTTTTCATGAGCTGGAGAGAAAGATTAGCAAGGACAAGGTAGGAGCAGCAGTGGCGGACTGCCTGTAAGTGCCTCAACAATTGAGGATTTGTAGTCTCCAGTTTAATGTACACAAAAGAATTGACAGTAGGAAAACACTGAAATTCCAGAGCCACAGGAAAATCTTGAACCAAAGTTTGTACTTTTACGACACAAAATTTACAAAAAGCAGGAAATCATTACGAAAACTTGCAGGAAATTGGGATTTGTTGTTTTAGTTCTCCTAAGGCCATCTATTTGAGAGTTTTTATCTTTATTTTCTATGGATGTGAAATTTGGGCATATGACTGTATTTTTCTGACAGTTCTTAACTACTGATAAAAGCTGCTGGAAGTTTTAGTAAGCTGTTGCAGCTTTCAGGAATGTTAAATTCTTACAGGTGTCATGAAAGTAACCACCTGAAAGGAAGAAAGATTCCTTGTGGCATAGTTTGGAGGAGAATTGTCAGAAGAGCTTGGCCTTTCGTGTTTCTGCTGCTGATGGAACTGCATTTTGGAGGTTACATGAAAGGGCTTAGGTTCCCTTAGTCAAGCACTTAGATATTAGCAGATCTATATAATGATTTTTTCCCCCATGCAGTCTGGAAGTTGGGCTATTTCTTTTCTTCGATTCTTGTCTTTTCCTTCTCTTGTCTTCTGTTTTAATTTTTTTGTTTGGTTTGTTTGTTTTTTTTTGTTTGGTTGTTTTTTATCACTCTCTGCAGAGTTCCTCTGTCACATTCAGTATGTGGGTGCTGCTGGATTAGATGTGACATGATAATCAGATAGTTGTATGTGAGATTGGTGCTGCATTTGTTACAGAAACTATGCATAAGGAGTTATCTCAGATTAATGTTAGCATATACAGCATAGGTTGGGCTGGAAGGGACCTTAAAGATCATCTCGTTCCAAACCCTTGCCAAGGGCAGGATGCCACTCACTAGGTCAGGTTTCCCAGAGCCCTATCCAGCCTGGCCTTGGGCACTTCCAGGGATGGGGCATCCACACCCTCTCCTTGCTTTATGTTGTCTCCTTTCTTCTGTTTGTCCTTCTGTCTATGCTTCCTTCCCTGTATCCTATTTGTAATTCTTGTTTCCGGACAGAAGCCCTAGAGGGCAGCAAAGCAGCCAAAGCGTTCAGAAGGTGCAAATTGGGCCCGTCTGAGGATTCTCTTTAGGAGCCCGTCGGTTTTTCATTCGTGGAGATTATGCCTTTCTTCTTAAAACGTGTTTTAAGATCCCCACGTCATAGTTTCAGGGGGAAGGCTTGTGTTTGGGCAGGGATCCTTGGGGATCAAAGTGGATTGCAACAGAGAGGAGGGGAATTAGGGAATGGACAAGTTGAAGACAAGGAAGGTGAAGCAGTGGCTTCTTCCCTTTCAGTGAAATTGCTAAAAAGTAGATACAGAAGCTCAAAAGGAAACAGCTTTCCCTATCCATCAATTAACTCAGCTTAAAACCTATACAGCTTCTGAGGATGCTCCACACAGGGTTGAGACCTTGTGCAGTTTTTGTTGGTGTGGGTTCTTGGAGTTCATTGCAGACCAGACTCTGATTGGAGTGTGGGCTCCTGCGTATTATTACCTTACAGTGAGGGCTGATGATGGTATTAACTGTTGAGTGGTGAGCTAGGGGAAGGTTTAAGAGACTGGTTATTCAGAAGCAACTAAATTCTTAGAACGAGGTTTTAACATGCCTATAGAATTATTTAGGGTGGAAATGACTCTAAAATTGAGTCCAGCCACAAACCCAGCACTGCCAAGTGCTTCACTAAACCACATCCCTAAGTGCCATATCCATGCTGCTTTTAAATACCACCAGGGATGGCGACTCCACTGCTTCCTTGAGCAGCCTGTTGCAATGCTTGACTGCTCTCTCTGTGAAGAAAGTTCTCCAAATATCCAATCTAAACCTCTTCTGGTGCAACTGGAGGCTGTTTCCTCCCATCCTATGAGAAGAGACCTGTGAGAAGAGACCAATCCCCACCTGGCCACAGCCTCCTTTCAGGCAGTTGTAGACAGCCGTGAATATTCCCCTCAGCCTCCTTCTTTCCATGCTTAACTACCCCTGCCCACTCAGCTGCTCCTCATAAAATTCGTGCTCCAGACCTTTCACCAGCTTCCTGTGGATGCTCTTCATACCCCTTGTGTGCCCATCTCAACTATAAATTTCTAACTCATTAAATTCTAGGTCAGGGGAAGTATTGCAGATCACATGTTTGTCCTTTTTATCTTATGGTGACAGTTTCATGCTTTCAGCTTTTTTGGAAAGAGCATTTTGACAGCTTCCTGTCTTGGGAATGTTGCCTTACACCATTTAAAATCTGTGTCTTTAAATATTTTTAGAAACAGGTCAACAGATTTGTGATGCTTCTCTAGAAAAATTATAGATAGCTGATGTGTGTTGTGTGAAACCCAGAGAAAATAGGATGACTGTGGAAACCTTTTGGCAATATCCAGCCTGGAAACTTGTGCTTTAATGTGAAGGTTTGTAATTGTTCCATAAAGAAAAGTAAGCTCTTTGTCGTCATTACCACATTAAGAAAAGCATGCCTGGGATCAAGGTAATTTCAGATAAATTACACTGCTTGGAGTCTGTTCACGCCTCTGCTGTAGAATATATAGGTGTCATCCATCAAATCCTGTGTTGCTTTTATATTGAACACAACTTGGCCTGCTGGGTGGTAAGTGGGAGGCTTAGAGTGGACAGGGTGAGATTTATTAGTTCTTTTTCACCGATGGTTGTTGCTGTGTTTCATTCAACATTCTTGAGTTTTTCAAGGACTTCACATTTTAGTGGAACAAGTGGAAGATGGTGGATTTTCTACAGCTCTAGAAAATCAGGCCTTCAGTCTCAAGCTACCATTTATTAGTATTTTTGAATTCTAGGCTTAATCTTTTAAGGCAGAAGTTAGTAAAAATTTGTTCTATATTAAAATGAAACAGCAAAGCATTTCCTGCCTTTCTACTGTTAATCTCCCAACTGAGATTTTTTTCTTTGTTAATCTCCCAACTGAGATTTTTTTCTTTGTTTTCTTTCTTTTTGTAGTGCTGTTTTCCAGTTGAAGATTTCAAGAGTTATCTGCTTTCCAGATCTGAATGGAATCCTTCTGCATCAGAACAGGAAACTAATAAGGTAAATTATTCTTGAGAGATGAAGAAAGTAATTTTGTAGTTCTTTTGAGAAGTTAAAGGACTTTAGCAGCTGTAGACACTTTTTCCTGTTTAAATGCCTGTCACCAGGTATCATATATTGCCAAAATGCGAGACTCAGACTGTGTTGCACAGTATTAGTGGTAGATACATTGAATGGAGTGGGGAGTGTGAGGACTTGGCACTCTGTTAAAAATAGTATTTTGAGATAAATTATTTGCTGCACTGTTGGAAGGCTTGTTCAGGAATGAGCTTAATGGGTTAGTGCTAACATCCATCTTGCCCAGTACTCTGATCCTGACAGTTCCACAGAGGAACTCAGTTTGGAGTGGGTGCCACAGTCTCCATTCTGTGTTGGCAAGAAGCCTATTCTTGGTCTTCTAAAGATTTAACTCTGAAGTGTAAAGCTTGGTATCTTTAAAAAATAATTCTTATTCCTATGGATGTGTTACGAAAACTTCTGTTCCACCTTTACGTATTTGTGGACTTGTTTCAGTGACTTCCTACATGTGAATTTTACTGACACTGTATGATTATATTTTTTTTGCTTTAAAAATAAAATATTTTCTCTTTTTCTTGACAGGAGGGACAGCTGTTCGTGCTCAGCCCTTTCAGTATCATTGTTTCATTTCTCTTCAGTTAATCTAAATATCTGGTGAGCTGTACTGTTTGCAGAAAGTAAGGAGGTTCTGTGTCTGTTTGAATATGATAACTCACTGTGGGAAAAGCTGAGTGTAGCTGACTTCATCTTGTGCTACATAGGTACCTCAGGACAATAGGTAATTTCAGAAATTATATATATAGATTTCTATATTATCTATTAAATGGTATCTACAGATACCATTTAACCCCTTATATTTTTACATACCCTTTTTAAAGGAAATTTTGGTAACAGCTGACAGTATGTCTGAATTAGAGCATTGACATTCAGTACTGTCAGTGAAGATTCTCAGACTGTGTATGAAGATCTTGTATATGTGGCTGAAGTGGTAGCACCTCTTTACAAATAATTTGGGTTTTGGGCCAGTTGTTTCCCACAAAAAGGAAAAAATATATTGAAATTATTTTGGTAAGCTAGTGTGCTTTTGCTTTGTCCTCTTTCACTTTTGCATAGTTACCTAAACCACTTTTCATAGGACTGTTCAGCAGAAAGCAGAGGTCACCTAATTGATACTTAAAGCTGTTGAACTTATGTAAGAAATGTAGTTTGGTTCTCCTGCACAATGTTTACATTTTGTGTGTTTGTTGTGGTTTGGGAGGGGTTTTGTTTGTTTTTCTAAATGCAAAGCGAGTGCTTTGATTCCATGTGGTTGGGGAAACTGTGCTAAACTTAGGCTTTACTCTTGTCAGGTTGCCTGTCCCTGTGCTAACTTCAGAACTTGAAGAGGTGACCTTTTGCTGTGAGGTAATGATGTTTATGCTCTCTCCTATGGATCTCTCCTTTTCCTTCCCTGAAGCAACATCACAAAAGGAATACACTGTGCAAGATTTTCTCCTTGCAGTTAATAGTACCAAGTGCTTATTTTGATGAGAAAAATGTTCTTTAAAACATTCTAGAATAAGAAAAGAAAATGCTCTGCTGTGTTACCATTTCTGTGTGCCTAATCCTGAAAAAGAGAGAACTTTGCCCCAAACACCTGACAGTTTGTTTGGGATCCAGCCAGTGTATGTAACTGGAAATTGAATTTCTAATCAGGAAAGGAAAATGAAGGGAGAATAAAGGAAGAATTCGTAATATGTTGGACAAATAATGTAAAATTACTGTAGCCCTCTACTGCCCATCCATTTAAGAGAAATGTTATTGCAGGAGTAATCTTGGGGGATCTGAAAGAACCTGATGTTAAGAACTTCACTTGAGGAAGATGATGTATTTTTACATGTGGAAAAAAGGTGTAATGAGTGGTGTAGTAACCTGAAGTGGCAGCTTTTTTTGCTGTATGTCTTAGGCCTTGGACTGTCAGAACATTTTATGCTGCAGTACACTGGCACTTTCTGCTAAATTTTGTCCTCCATAGCTTATCCTACCTGGCTTCTTGTGATTTAAGGATGGGGGAAGGAGGCAAGTGGAAAGTAACACTGTCTAGGGCCAAAAGAAGGTCCCTCATGTATTACAAGAGTTTGTATTTCTGCTTTCTATCTTGTTGTTTCTATAGAAAAGTCTACACCACTTGTTACAAGTCCCTGTGTTATGGAAGTGTGCTGGATTTTGAAGGTCAGGGCTGCTGGACTGTGTAGATATCAAAACATTACTGCTATTTAAGAGTCATGTCTTTTCCTGCTGTAACTACTGTTTGGCTCATGTAATGATCCACAGTTCACATATACAGTTTAGGAAAGATCAGCAAGAACTTCCATTTTGAGGATATCTCTAACATTTGAGGAACACTCTAACACGGAGTTGCAAGCAACAAAAATATAATAATTAATGAATTTTTTTATCATATAAGTAAGATTTATTTTTCCACATGGAAATTGTTATTATAAAACCATTTCATGGGAATTTTCTAGGAGTGCAAATGATTCTTTTAAAAGTATCCTGTTAAAAAACCCAGCAGCTCAACAACAAATTGATCAATATGGCTGTATCTGGCTCTTCAAGTTGTATTGTACAGTGTTTCCAGGAATGGTGTTCTCTCTTTTCCCGTCTGAGGCAGATAACGACTACATAAATATAAAACTGAAATCTGCAATTTTGCATTTGAGACTATGGATCAGTACATAAAGAGTTAATCTACAGTAGCAAAATTGTCCTTGGAAAGAATGAACTGGTCACGAAATTTCTGCTGGAGTGTTTGTTAAACTGAGAGGAAAAACAAAAGCTCATACATACACAACTTCAGGGTGAAAATGTTGGATACCACCAGGACCTTGCTATTGTTGGTTTCCACACAGTTTTTAGAAAAACACCCACTCAACTTCACTCTCAGCCAGTGCTTTAAATTCTCTTATTGCTGGAGATGATGTTTTTACTTGCTCTTAAATAGTTCACTATCTTCCATCTAAATTGCATCCCTTTTGGTGAAGGTGGCTTTTGTCCTCAGTTAAATTAAAGTAATTAAAACTTGAAAAATGTTACAGTCTGGGAATCTGTTATGAGGTCCTTTTGTGTTAGACTCATATTGTTCTACAAAACCAAAGAGATGGCCCAGGTTTCAGAGTTACACTCTGAGCCCACTGCCAGAGATCCCTCCCTATGGAAACTGCAGAACTGGCAAGGCCATTTTTGGCTTCTAAAAAGTGCATTCCCACCCCATCCACTCATTCCCTAATTTCACCTTCCCATGTGCCACATGCTGTATTTAAGTTTGGTAGCTGCAGATAGGTCTGGATATTCTAAAAGAATGTCCTGATACCTCTCTGTACCATGTGAGTTTATAAAGAAGCTTTTGTATTAATTAAATGGTAGCAGTCTGCTTCACAATAATAGATGGAAGAAAAAAAAAAAAAAAGAATCTCCTTCTACTTGTAAAAAAATTAACCAAAATTAGAAAAGACAAACCTCCCTACCAGCAAGTATGCAAGCGTTTATGAAATCAACAGCTCATGTGTTACTAGTTCCTAGGTATGAATAGGAGTCCAGTACTGATAAAGACCATGGAAAAAACTGCTTTTAAGGTATCATCAAATTTAGAAAATTAGTAATTTTTTCCTCAGTGCAATTGTTGGAGATAACAGCAAGACACTAGTTAGAATGAGAAAGTTTGTTATCACTTTATTTAAACTTTAAATGAAGAAAAGGCAGTACTATGCTAGTTACAAAACCCTTCCTTCCCTCCCTCCCTGCCAGATTTATGCTCCTCAGTTGTTTGGCTACTTCTGCTTTTCCCTCCTACTGTCAAAGAATGCAACAAAGTTTTGTCTACACAGAAAGCAGTAATGCATGTGAGTAATGTGAGTAATGCAGCCTGTTGACATTAGTAAGTGGGAAATATTGTTGAAATGCTAAACTCAGAAAAAATATGAAATAAAGTGACATGAGTTTAGTCTGCTTTTTAAACTTTTCTATTCTAGGTTTTTTTTTTTTTTTTAAGGAGAGGTTGATTTCTGGCTGTTGATGAACCTTTCATAACTGAAAAGTACAAGGAACTGGTATGGTAAAGTCTTAAGGTAAGAAACTTTATAATAAAAAGTATGTGACTTCAAAGCAGGAATTCTGAGTACATGTAAGGCAAAACCTATAAAATATAAGCTCTGTGCAAGAAATTTATTCACTGTGCTGAGGGTAGTTTTATGCTGGGTAATCTTTAAGGTGTGTTTTTTGGAGAGGCTGCTTGGAAAGAAGCACTAGCAGTGCTTTTTCCACTCTCAGCCTCACAGGTGGGATGCTTCTGTCCAGAAAACAAACAATGAGGCTTTTAAGACTGTTGGGCTTTTAAAATTTACCAAAGAGTATAATCTGGGGAGTCTGACTCAGTATTATTTGGGAATTCTTTGTATTATTACATTCTTGGAAAATGCTATCTAGTAGAATACAAAGAAAAAAAAACCAGAGGACTTGCTAGCTAGCACAAGCATATTCCTAACTAGGAGTTATTTTTTCTGAATCTGGGCCTAAACCATCTAATTTTCAGTTTTATTCTTTGGACAGTATATAATGAAAACATAGGATTAAAAGTGGCTTTTAAAAATATTGTTATATTAGAGACTAATAGACAACAGTTGAGATAAAGATGCAATTAGTAATAGTACAATAATTCAGCCTTCAGAGCTCCTTGTTACTTTACAAAAAACAATCACCCAGAACTATGGGTTCCTGGGTTTATTGTGAACAGAGCATGCAGGTAAAATTATTTGCTACAATTACTTAGCAGGGTCCTGCATTCTGTTAGAATTCAAGCAAACTGCATCCAGACTGCTTAATTTTGCCTTGTTTTGTATTGATCGAGAGACACAGGAAAAATTTAAATATTGTGTAAATGTTGTGTAAATATTTAAATATTTTAAAAAATCCCACCAAACCTGGAACCAAAGAAGCTATGGGTGTTTTCTGTCCCCTCTCTAACACCACCAGCAGGTCACTGCCTCTGCTCTGAGGCAGGGAGAGGCTGTGGCCATGCCAGGACAGGGTTGAGCCAAGAGGATTGAGCAGCCACAGCTGCAGGGAGGGGAAGGGTGATAGTGGCTGTTGGCCCAAACAAGATATGTGGTGACTTTATGTTTGGTTCTAGGAGTTTTATTTTTTTCTCTCCCTTACTCTGGAAATCCAAGATGCTTTCTCCCATTGAAGAGAAAGGAGAATGGAGATGGACATACTGTCCAAATGGGGAAAAAAATTTCTATGCCCTTTTGAGGTGTTCTTTAAGAAGGAACAGTTCCTCCCTGTTAGCCCACACTCCAAATGTTAGATGTATAAATAAAAACTGGCTGTGTACTCCCTCATCAGTTTTATTTTGAGATTTTTTTTTTCTTACTTTCAGAACATTGGATTTTTTTAGTTATTGTTCCATAATTGTTACCCATAAAAACTCTGAAGGAAATTCAGTAATTCCAAAACTAGAAAAGTGTTAATATTTATTGTTAGGCAAATGTTATGGCTGCTTAAAAATATTAACATATCTCAGTTCCTAGGTCAACAGTCTGCTGTGTGACTGGATATTTCTTTTATTTCAGACCCCAGAAATAATGGGACCTTTAGGAACCTCAGGCTGAACTTGGTGAGTATCTCAAGATAGTGTAGAAATAAATGGAACAGATTCAGTGGGATGCACAGATATCTTCTCAAAGTCTTTCCTTTTGCTGGACACATGTGCTTGTTAAACTACTGACTTGCCTTAGTTTTAAGGACTTTTGTTTCTCATGTCTCTTCCCACAAGATAGCAAATAACGTTAATCACAAGCAGGTAAGTATTCATGGATGTTATTACTTAACAGGAGGCCTTTGCCTGCATTCCTTTGGGGGTAAGAATTTGTACAATAATGACTGCTTTATTGATTTGAATGTAAAAATAAATAAATAAAGTTATAATTGTTTCTCCACCTTAGTTGGAATTCAGATTTCTTTTTTTTTGTTTAGTATCTGTATGGCAGTATAACTTGTGTATTACCTTCTGTAATTAGTTATTCTACCAATTAATGGGTTTTATTTTGACAATTTATCAAAAGCTTTATGGTAGTATACAAATTGAACTCAATTTAAAGACTGAATGCTCTTTTGTTTTTAGGGTTGGTGGTAGTTGGTTATAACTGTGGTTTTGACAGTTTATTTTTTACAAAGAGCAAAAGGAAGTGTGCAAAACAGAGAAGAAATCAAAAAGACCTTAAATAAACCAGTTCTTTTCAATATAAACCAGCTCAATTCTTAGCCTATGAGATGTCCCTAGCTACCATGTTTCTTTACCCATTTGGTGCTGTGACAATGAAGTGAGAAGTCCCAAAGTACTGGCAGAATCTAAGAGCAGAAGCCTTGTGGAACTTTGAAAGAACTGGGTTTGTCCAGACTGCGATGCAGCAAGAGGTGGCAGATGAGCATTACAGCAACTTTTCATGCACTTGAAAACTTGCAAAAGGGTTGGTGATTTTTGTCACTGCAGAAGGAAGAATTTTTACTGGCTTCAGAGACCAGATGACTTAGTGGCATTTTAGGAAAAGCTTTCTCACAAGATTTGTTAGAGGTTGGAACAGATTGCCAAGAGACTCTAATGGCTGACAAAGGGAAAGTTTTTAAAGTTTCCTTAGTGTGTCTCAAGGGTGTGAACCATGGGATAAAGTGAAAGAAGTGAGCTCTGTCCAATTCCAGTGTTTCTATTTCATAAATGCTGTGGGGTTAAATGATCTTCCCATAAATTAATTCTTGGAACTGATGTTTTGAAGATGTTTGTGTGTATGAACACTGGAAGTTGACAGTCATGTTAGTAAATGGGTTGATGTAAACACAGGCTGCTGTCAAAGAGGGACATGTCTTAGCTGCCCTTTTCAGGCTGGTTTTCAATTCAGTGGGGTGACAAATATGCACAGTTTAGATGAAGGCAAGTCTGTCCCTTTGCAGCAGCAGCTGCTCAGTGTGACCATGGAACAGTAGCTTAAGGCTCTGCAGCCAAGGGATGGTCACTTATTGGCGTGATTGATACTACACATCCCGACCTAGGGCCTTGTTCAGGAAACAACAGCGTAATGCAAGCCAGCTGAATGTCTTCCATAGCAAACTATCACTTTTTATATAGGCCTTAAGTGAAGTGTTAGGTATTTAGTTCTGTACAGTAGGCTTTAGCAAACATGCAAATTAAGCAACTCCAGCTTTGAAATTTCAAAAAAAATGATAGCTGGAGAGAGGTAACCCACTAATAATGAAGTCAGACAGAGTACATGTCCTGCTTCAAGTGGGGCTTTACCTCCAGTTCTGTATAATTTGCAGAATTTACCAGTGATGGTGAGAAAATGAGTATAGAATTCAAAATAATCACAGTAGGACCTTATCAGAGTGTCCTCTGCTCTAGTGGTGAAAAATTCATACTGCCAGCAAGAATCATATTTTGCAGGGGAAGAAAGTCCAAAGGAGGTAGAAGATAGAGGAGAACTCTTCCATTTGTTATTGGGTCTGACAGAGCTGGAGTTCATTTTCCCCCCAGCAGCCTCCAGAGCTGTGCTGTGCACTGGCAGCTGTAGAGCTGCCCATAAGACAGCAGGGTTCTGGCTGCTGCTGAGCAGCGCTGGCACGGTGTCATTGCTGTCACTCCAGCATCTTCCCCTCTCCAGGAGGGTGGGGCTGGGCAAAATCCTGGGATGGAACGTAACCAGGACGGCAGACCCACTGACCAAAGGGATATTCCATACCATGTGATGCCTGCTCAGATACTGAAGCTAGGGAAAAGGAGTAGGGAGGGAGGACATTTGTTATTTACAGTGTTTATCCTGCAGAGCAGGCACTGTGTGCTGAAGCCCTGCCTCCTGGGAAGTGGCAAGACATCACTCACTGATGGGAAGTAGATAATAAAATCTTGGGTTTTTTTCCTTTGCTTGTGTGCACACTAATTTTTTTTCTTTTGCTGTAATAACATGTCTCTTCTTGACCTACAAGGGTTTTTTTTCCATCTTATTTTGCTGGGGAGGGGAGTGATAGAGCAGCTTGATGGGCATGTGGCACCCAGCCAAGGTCAATCCACCACAATTTGCTATAGCATTTTAGTCATTTGCAATGCTACAGGGTAGATGTAAAACCAATTTAGATAAAATAGCACCTTTGACATGAAACTTTAGATTAAGCAGGACACTGAAAAATTAGGTAATCAGAGGCTGGACCACTCAATGCAACATAAACTGCAGCCAGCCTAAACTTAATGGAGTTCCAGGAAAAAGTCTCCAGTTTCTTACTCTTAGGTCACCTCATTCCCACTTCTGATTCTGTACTGCTGATTCAGTTTGAAACCTTTTTCCTGTAAAGACCTCAAAATTCCTGTAATGTCTGTCAGCTGCCAGGTGTCTCCTAAGTCACAGATATTCCTGCAGATATTCCAGCAGAAGCTAAGATACAGTGTGCACTTATTCCTCTGGCACTGTGGCTTTGAGGAATAACGAAACACTACTCTGCATCCCCGTTTTCCAAATCTCACTCTTGGTTGTTAGCAGTTGTGTAAATTCAGTGTCAAAGTCTACATTTATAATTTTGTCAGAGAGCTTAGAATCTCTTCAGGTTTGGCTGTGCTGCTGAAGCTAGCAGGAACTAAACAAGCTGGGGTCTTTGTATGGATTTGTTGGTTTTCTTAGTTTTTATAGAGATGGGGCAACTGAGAGATGTTTAAAAAGATTTTATTCTGTTGTCACTTTTGATTAAGGGTGAGACATAAAAGACATAAACTCAATGCTATTCCATCAGAAACTAACTTATTATCTGGTTACAATACTTTATAAATGTTTTTCAGCCTATTAGCTTTTACCACACACTGCTGCTATTACTTCTAACACTAATCACCTAGATTTTTACCCTACATAGTCTTACTACAATATATCTTTCACAGTTCTAATTCTCTAAAACATCTAGTCTTTTTACAAAACCATATTTTAAAACTTATTAAAACTTAGTAGTTCAGTCTCTCTCTCAACAATGTTATCTCTATTCCATGACCTTCCTAAATCAACACACCTTATTTGTGTTTATATACTAATATACAAAATCATATGAGATTTCTGTCAAGTTTTAAAAATTCTTTATAAATCCATTTCTCACATGGATGGTTGATAGGGGTACTTAGATATGTAAAGATGCAAATAAATGCTTCTAAGGGCTCTTTTAAATCCCAACATTTCAGGGACAGTTGGTGGCCTTTTTGCAGCTTCAGGCCCTTGTTTTTTTTTTGTTCCTCCTAACCTGCCTCTGTTTGGCAGCAAATGCTGGTGTCCAGCATACAGATAATCAGTTTAAGAGAGGCTTGTGTGGCACAGCTAATTCCTGCCTGGCCCCCAGGGGCTCTGGGAGTTCCCAGGATCCCAGCTGTGTGAGGGGCTGATGGCACCAGCGTGCTCAGGGACTCCATCTGTAGTTGCTGCTGCAATGAAATTGTCACCTGCCTTCACCCCTCGAGTCTCACATTCCACTTAAAAACGCTGTAGGAGGCTGGTGGCAGGGAGATCAGACTTCTTGTGTCACAGTCAGTGTTTGGACACAGCTGTGCTTTTAGAAAAACACCCTGAACTGGTCCACGTGTGTGGCTGTGCTGGAGCTGCCTGTGGTTCCTGGCTCTGGTCCTGGCCCAAGCCTTACCCAGGAGAGAGCAGGCTGGGCAGTGCCAGCATTCTGTGGGAACAGTGGTAGTGGTTAAAAATCTCAGCTGACACAGGCCATGGTGTTTGCCATGCTTTATTTGCTGGCACTGTGAGAAATAGCTTTTCCTCGAGCAGATGAACATGCAGAAACATACTCTCCACGTCTCCAATATGCCTTGAGCTGCGGAGCCTGAAGGTGTTACACTTAATGAGGCATTACAGCAAGTAAATGCCAGTGCCAGCAAGAGAAAATATGCCTTTTAAATGTAAAAGATCTGAGTATTTTCCATTTACTGATAGATTGGTATGGGGGAACAACAAAGTTGATTAATCTCTGAATGAAAGCTTGGTGTCAGTTAAATATCTCAGAGTTCAAAACCTGTCAAAGGTTATACTTAAACAGTTTGTCTCGCTGCTTCCACGGAGCTGTAAATCAGTCTGACCACTTACTACTAAGTGACCTTCTAACAGAAATCATCGCGGGCAAGCGTGGAGCGCGACCCGGGACGAGGGCGGCGAGC